AGAACGAATCACAAAAGGCACTTCAGTCTACAAGTCAACTCAAGCTATCAATTCTTCCCAAGCAACTCTTAACATGTCAATATAAGCGTAAAGCTGTTGGCATTTGACGCCTGAATGAATGAATTTATAACTTCATTGCTCGACAATCTACAATGTGTGGCAGTAATACAACAATACTACAAAACTAAACTATCTTATTACATTTCTTACTACAAACTACTATCTATACAGTAGAAACCTGTATCACCATGTAAGTAGTGATTTTTGTTACAACATAGTACTCTAACAGTGCAATTGTACAACATGGCTCCAATGGCAATATTATACACACCTCAGGAACGTAGTTGTCTCTCCTCTCCCTCTCCTCCTCCTGCAGCTTGATGGAGATACCACGGACTGGTCCTCGCTGGATACGCTTCATCAGGTGGGTCACAAACCTGGGAAGGTGTGAAGAAATATGGACATTATCATACTTTTACCTTTCGGTGACATAATACTGCTTTTCTAGGTTGGCAATGAATTATCTCAGCAAGCAAGGGCACTGTCCTTGTCGTAATCTTGACTTCAGGTTACTTTCCTGGTACGAATGGCACTGACCCCCTTAAAATAGCACATGAGAACTCTTGTAAAATAGAATGTTTGTGAGAGTCTAAAGTTTATATCATGTCGTTTGTTTGGACTGCCCAATGTTCATAGTATACTAGTAACTTACTAACGTTAGTATAGTATCATGATTTACTATCATCGACGGAGGTAAATATTGGAAGCTAACATGGGCTGGTAATAATAATTGCTGTACCATAGTCTTAAGATAATCTACATACTGACTACGCATACTAGGCCAGAGGGATGTTCCGTTATGTGAAGGGAACGTAGAAAATTATGAACAACCTACCCTGCAACCTTGTTCCTCAGCTTCTTGCTGGGAATAATGGCTATCTCCTCACATATCCGCTTATTTGTGTGAAAGTCGAGCGTAAGCCTGGTGTAGTATTTTTCGATGATCACCCGCGCCGCCTTTTTGATCGTCTTCGTACGAACGCGACCCTAAAAGGTACATAAAAATAACACACACTCAGACACTCATCAAATCCGCCATCTTTACTGCAAATGCATGTGAAGCTTCTCATTAATCTGTCCCAAACCAACCCTCTTCTAGTACTAACTTGAAAAATAATACAATGTATCTGTTGCAGAAGGGTTTAACATTCTTGGTATGGCACTATTGCTTACAGTATTGATAACAGTAATACTGGATGAAGTCGATTTTTGTAGGGTTTTATTTGCATGTACCCACCATGTTGAAATCTGGATCGGAAAAGGACGCCGCAAGGCCTGCTGGGAGAGAAGTTGTACTCGGCGTAAGATAGCGCCGCCTAGCAGGCCTGTGTAGAAAAGCAGACACATTCTGATCTTTCCAACCAGATTCATTTGGCTGGGGAATGATTTTGTCTACATATAATATAGATATATGGCAGTCGTAGTAAAATATTTCTGAATGAAATTTAACATTCAGAATTTTCTCTTTGGCAGGTTTAAAAAAAAATATGCCAAGGTGCATGTTTCTCCTGAATTTTTCATCGGGCTGCTTTCTGGTGGAACATTTTTGTTTCCCAAGTCCAGTGCCACTTTAAAGTTTGTATGTTACCAACAGATCAATCATGTAACAGCTGACGTTGACCACGCATTCACTGATTCAAGTCTATCTGTACGAATGAATGAATTCATCTCGTGACATATTGCGGCCACAGACACGGAGGACCGACAGGAACAGCCTGACGACTTTCAGCGCACTGGTGCCGCCACACATACACGCACAAACTTTGAAGGAGAGTGAAACTGCTGATATTCATCAAGAGCAGAACAACGATGTCGCGCTTGTTTCTCCTGTACGGTGTCCTCGTCATGGTAATTCTGGCCGTTGAAGGTAAGGTAACGTTACTAGTATATCAAGGTTCAGATGCATCAGTTCATCCTTCAGAAACTCAGTTGAGATACGCATTTAAGAAGGACGCTTTGAAAGTTTCCTCTTTTTCACCAGTTCCCCGTATTTACTAGTAACTTACGGTGCCACAAAAAATCAACGGGACATGCAAAAACGTTGCAAAAGCACATATCATCATGCCATGTATTTGGGAATACAAAATGTTGTACAACTGGCTCCTACACGTACGTTAACAGCATAATTTCCTTCGCCTTCTAGTCACTAATGCTGAAGACACTGATACCAAGGAGCGGATTCCGAGCGGGTTGCACGAGATGTGCACACGGGGGCTCAAAATAAGCTATAGTTCGCTATTTGAGTGTTACTGGCTAAACCGTTTCCATCAGGTAAGTTTAGGTTGCTTATTCCCTTCAATGTATGTGTCAAAGATTCTGAGCCTATCAAAGTTTATAATTATCACCTTCGGAAACTGTGAAACAGAAAACACAGCCATGACAGCATTCAAACGTATAACTCAGATACTCGTACTAGGCCTGGATGTTTCACCACGTTTATTTATGACCAGTATTCATACGACAACTACCCAATTTTTGCCTGCCAATGATGATGGTGTACAAGTATCATTGTCGATTCTTTCAAAGTAAAAAATCATTTAAAACCATCTGTAACAGGCAAACGCTTCATGTTGAACTGTACATGTCTCCTCGCTTACAGAAAAACGTAGACGGTCTTGATGTCGGAGACGGGAAGTAACAGGTCCAATGTTTTCCACAAGTTGAAGTCTCGAGATATTCTCTACTAACGTCATCATGGCGCGGGTTTACCTACACGGATGTGACAGGATATTAGGCCTCGAAATGGGCCAGTAGACGATATAACCCAGAATAAAATAATTTCATCTCCAGCATCTGTTCTGCATCAAGTCTTTCGCAGTGTCTTGCTATTTTTGTGTGTGTGTGTGGCTGCCATGTAGCGGCACCATTATTCTATGATACGTTTTTGTTTCTTTTTCAGTCAGATTTCCTGTGCATGTTTCTGTTTTCTTCTACGTCCCTCCCTACGGCCCTTCCCATGTCGCCCAGGTTCCGTTCCACTCTGTTCAAAGCATAGGGGTGGTGCACATATCCATTGCTGTGGCCCTTGGGCAACACAGATGTGCAAGCACTACAGCAGGGGGCTGGCATCGACGCAAAATCATCTTCAACTTAGAAATTATGAAAATGAAGCAACTGAACAGTTTTCTAATTAAAAAAGGAGGAAAGTAAAAAAAACAAAAAAACAAGACAAAACCAGTCCGATCTACAAGACCACACCCATAAAATTTTCTTTTGGAGTGCACATTCTACCAAGGTCCTATATTTAACCATGACACTTTAGGGAACAGATGGCAAAGTGTGAAAGAAAGTCAATGGGTAGTAATGATTTCCCTTCACTTTTGGGATGCAGATAACAGCGACAAAATTGTGAATAGAAAGACTCAGAAATACAAAGACACAGTCAACCAACAGATGGGCAACATGGCTGCTCGTGTAGGAAGTCAACCAGGGTTGGCTGTAAGTCCTAAACAACAATGAAAAGAGTACCTTACCAGTCAACTATATGCTTCATTTAGCAGAAATGTGTTTTGATGAAAAAGAAAACCGTGACATTCCATCATTTATTACATGTACTTCTTTCATAATAGAACAAACTCTGTCATCAGTCTATAATATAAGCACATTTTTACCATTCTTGTGAAAATCAACTTTTCAAACCTTGGAAGAAAGGTTTGATGTTTCAACTATTGCAACACAAACTTTACACTATCCACAACCCCAAACACACATGATTATGTAGTTAAAGAATCACCTCCAACAAAGGTGCCATTGAAATGGAACAATGTACATAGTACTGTACAAGACATAGTATAATGTACCATATGTGGAACAAGTAAGTTGTCATTGACCATCTCAAATTGATGTTATGTGAATACAATGCATTACTTCTGTCACCAAATT